TGGGGGGGCTCACATGGGGGGAGGAGGGGACAGGAACGTGGGGGGCTTGCACAGGGGGCAGGAGGGAACAGGAGGGTGGGGGTGGGGCACTGGCCACAGAGGGCCAGGGGGCTGGTGTCCAGGGGGAAGGAGCAGGAAGAGAGGAGGACCCAGGACAAGGGCTGCGGCTGCCCCAGAGGTGTGGGGAGGTGACAAGGCCCTGCGAGGGTTGCGCGGGGGGCGGGGGGGGGCGTGGGGGGCGGCGTGCCTGGGATTTGCCGCTGCCCGCGTTCCCGATGACGAACACCGAGTGCCGCACTTGGAGGAGCTCCTCGAGCTGTACGACCTTGAGCACGAAGCTGTCTTCCGCCTGCAGCTTGAGCTCGACGACGCTCTGCTTGATGATCTGGGGAGGCGCGCACAGGGCGGGGTGCTGGGCGCGGGGACCAGGCGGTCCTGGCGGGAGGGGGACTTCCTGCCTGGCAGGGGGTACTGTGAGGGAGGCCCCCCCCCGGCGTGGCTGTGTTCGCTCGCTCGCTCGCCCTGCCGGTGATTCTCCCGAGCACCCCTGCGGGGGACAGACCTGCCCGAAGCCCTCTCCTGTCCCCCGGGAGACCCGGCCCCCAGCATTGAAAGAGGGGCTCCCCGGGGCTGGAAGGCCGTTCGTGGCTCCAGGGGGCCTCTCTGGCAGAGGGAGCCGCGTGCCCCACCGTCGCACCTGCCATGGAGGTGCCGGCGCGACACCCACCCCGCCCTGGCTGGACCCGAGGGCCCGCCAGGACCTACCTTTTCAAAATTCAGGTCCCGTTTGCGAGGCACGTCCAGGGCAGGGAAGAGGTCCCCGATCAGCCCCATGAACACAGGCAGGTCGTCGGTCACGATCTTGGGGATGTTGAAGTCTCTCAGCGCCCTCATCAGCACCTGGTCCTCTGCCCGGCTGGGGTCGCCCCTCTTCAGGGAGCCGGCCACCACCAGCACGGACTTGATGGCTCGCAGGCCCCAGTCGTAATGATCCTGGGGAGGGCAGGCACGGGCGGCGGACGCGAGCGTGCCTTCCGGCTCGGGCAGCTTCCCCAGACCGGCCCGGAAGGCACCCTCCCCAGCCGCCCTGCGGGCCCCAGATGCCGTCAGCTCGCACCTGCTTCGACAGGAGCTCCCTGCACAAGGTGTAGAGCGTGATGAACTTCCTGGCCAGCAGGCGGGCGTCCAGAAAGCCCTCGGCCACCAGCATGATCTCACATATCAGTTCAAAGTCGGGGACCACCATGGCGCAGGGCCTGGGGGAGATCGGCGGGGTGGGCCTCCGGCTTCTCCCGTCTTCCTCCCGCCACCCCATGGTTGGTCAGCTAGCCCAGCACCTCACCTGCCAGGCAGCCCGCAGCGTCAGGGTTTCGGGGCCGAGGGGTGGGCTCCCAGCAGCCCCCCTCCACTCTCCACCTCCTTGGTTCCTCCTATGCCCTCTGCCCTCCGCCCGGGCTGTCGCCAGGCCCTACATCTGTTCTACGGACTCTTCTCTGAACCCTGCCTTCCGCCGAAGGGCACGTGCCCCGTGCCCCCCAGGAAGGCAGAGAGGGAAGACCGCCGTCTACTTTCAGAGGGGGCCCTGCCCGCTAGACCCCCCCGCCTCCCTGACTGGGGAGCCCCGTGTCCCCGGCCTCCCCTGGCTCCCAGCTTGCTCTGGGCTAGCTTCCCCTCTGCCCACGCACCTGAACAAGGCTTTTAAGTTCTCGGGCAACTCGGTGCGTCCCGCGTAGCCAGGGTTCATGGTGATGAACAGGCCCACGGTGGGGATGAGGCTTATCATCTCTCCCAGGAAATTGAAAGTTTTCTTCTTGGCCCGAATTGCATCTTGGACACATTTTACCTAAACAAGCACACAGACACGTCCGCGTGGGAATGACCAGCTTCCTCGGGCTGGATCTCCATCTGTGTTAAAGTGCATGGCTGTGAGTTTGCAGAGGACGCTCCTGGTCTCTCTCTCTCTCTCTCTCTCTCTCTTTTTTTGAGGGGGGAGGGGCAGAGGGGGAGAGAGAGAGTCTTAAGTAGGCTCCATGCCCAGAGCAGAACCCAGCTCAGACCTCAATCTCGTGACCCTGGGATCACGACCTGAGCTGAAATCAAGAGTCAGATGCCTAACCGACTGAGCCACCCAGGCCCTCTTTTCTCTCCTTGTAATGAAACTTCATTTTGAGACACTAGACTCACGTGCAGTTTTCAGAAACAATGCGGAGCACATGCCCCGGGTGCCCCCGGGTGTCCTACCCGGCGCCCCCTAGTGGTAACATCTGGCACAGCAGCAGTGCAGCATCACAAGCAGGACCCCAACACCGACAGACAGTCGAGACAAGGGACATTGCCGTCACCACGAGGACCCCTCACGTGCCCTTCTATAGCCATAGCCCCATTTCCCCCGGCCCCCACCTTCTCCTTGGCCCCTGGCTTCCCACTCCTGTAACCCTGCCATTTCACGAATGCTGTGTGGGATCGTGCAGCTTGTAATGTGACGTCGCCCAGCAGAACGCCAGGGTGTCGTGCGGCGTGTAACGTGATGTCACCCAGCAGAACGCTGGGGACCCCCCCCCCCGTCCCCCAAGGGCGAAGCTGCCTCAGAGTTTGTTCCGCACTATCGCTGAGTGGTGTTCACCTCCTAGCGGCTCCGTGTGTCCCGTTCCTGCCCTGGAAGTGCCGCGTGGGAGCACTGATCAGAGCCACCTCTGTGTCAGACAGTCTTTAAGAAAGCCGGCCCTGGGGGAACTCTAAACTTCAGGGGTCCTTGGCCGGGTTTGACGTTCCGCCCCGGCAGAGCAGCTGCGAGGCCGCGCGCCACCACTGGAGGGCGCCCCACGATCGCGGTTAAAACCTTCCAACCGCCTGGACTTGAATTCAGAGTCTCCGCCTTCCCAGCCAAGTTCCCGCCCTCGGTCCTGGCCTTTCCTCCCTGGCTGGCCCGCAGCGCAGGGCTCCCTTCCAGAAGGGCTCCCCCCCACCCCACGCGAAGCCTCTAGCTACCACCCCGGGCCGGTCCCTTCTGGTCCATTCGAGTCAGAAAACATTCTGGGGTGCAGTGACCGACTTAGGGGGTGGAGCAGTAACTGCTGCTGCACTGGGGCGGGGGGCACCCCAAGGCATCGCCCTTCGTCCCCTCTTTGCCTTCCCGGCCCCTGGCTCAGGGCTCGGGGACAGCTCTGTGTCAGGAGGGTAACAGTGGAGGATGTCAGCTACCCACGTTCACCTCCCATCCTGCGGGGCCAGCCTGTGCCCTCAAAACCATCTTGTGGGTTAGGAGGTGGTTCCGATCACTGAACATAGAGGGTTCCGATCCCTGCCTAGCGCAGAGCTGGGGAGTCCAACCAGTGAGTTTCAACCGGGCCCCACGCCCAGGTTGTGAGTCTCGAGCGGAGGGGGGGGCCGGGGTCCCCTCTGCGCCCCCCGCTCTGCCTCGCAGCCTCGTGTGCTGGCCGGAAGGCCTGGCTCCGGGGACCTGTGTCTGCTTCTCTGTCTGTTGTGTGGGGTTGGGGGTGGGGGTGGGGGTCCTGTGCACCAGCAATAGCCTGACCTCCGGGGCCTTTTGGAATATGCAAAGTTGCTTCTGGACCCCCAGCTTGGCCTCAGTTCCCCGGAGAGAGCCCTGTGGTTCTCACCTCCTGCGTGTGTGGGATCACGGGAGGAATGTGGGGTGGGCACAGGGCTGTCGCCACCTGAGCATCCTGTCCCCACCTGGTCCCCAGCGCCCCCCCGTGGTGCATTCCCGAAGTTCACGGGCAGATTCCCCCCTCCCCTCCAAGCACCGCTCTCTCACGCATCCTGCACTGACACTTGTTACAAAGAACTCTGTCCCCGGCCTCCAAGCAAACTACGGCAGCCCCTCACCTGCAGTCGGTTATGTACACGCCGCTCTCTCCGATGCTCACTGGTTTCGCTTCCGTGTGCCTGCCCGGACCCCGGGCCCCCGAGGGACAGCCCCGGGGGAGACCACCCGTCTCTGTGCCACAGCACCCCTCGCTGCACGGCGCACTAAGCCCCGCGGGGCCCTACCTGTACGGCGATCACCGACAAGACTTCCACCGAGATTCGGTTGAACTCGTCGAAACAGCCCCAGGCTCCCGTCTGGGCCAGGCCCTTGTAGATGTTGCCGCAGGACTAGAGAGGGTGAGAGGGGAGAAGGGAGCCCTGGGGAGAGGAAGGCAGGCGGAGGGCCGGCGCCCCCGCCTCAGGCGGGGCTAATACCGCGTGGAGCTGGCCGCCGGGGAGAGCCCATCCTGCCCCGGTGATCTCCCTGGGGCGGGGGCTGCCCTGCCACCCCCTGCCCCAGCTGCACAGTTCAGACAAGCGCATTCGTGCAATGTCCTTCTTGCACACAAGGGAGGGGGCTTCTCTCTGAGGGGCTGGTGGGGCGTGAGTGTCAGTTTCTTCTAGATGCTTCTGGCACCCCAGTCCTCAGCTGGGTGATCGGCAGTCTTCAGGGATTCTGCGAGGGCTCCAGGGAGTGTTACGCTCCTTCTGGGGCGTCCGGGTTCAGGTTTGACTTCTCCGGACTACAGAGGCTGGCGTGGACCGTGGCCTTGCTGGTGAGGTTGCTGGTGCCACCTCAGGAGGGTCGGGCCCCGGGGCTCGCATGCGGGTGGGGAAGGGACTGGAGGCCCCCGCAGGCCCAGGCTCCTGGCCTCAGGCCCACCCCCAGCCCTCCTGTCGGAAGCTGCTCTACGGGGCCTCCAAGAGGGTATGCACTCTCCCGGGGCCCTCAGAAAACTGACACCACTCTGCACAGTCTCCAGGGCCTGGCGGGGCCCCGGCCTGGCCTCTGGCTCCCCTCCTAAGCCTGCCTGGACTTGCTTTTACCCGGAAGCCCCAGGCTGGATGAACCACGACACAGGTGCCCCCAGCCACCAGGGGGAAAGCTCAGAGCCGAGGCTGGGAGGAGGTCCCCTCCGAGGGCAGGTCAGGACATTCGGGGCTGGGCGTGCTGACCCTAGGAGCCTCTTCCAGACATGTTAGTCACATCCAGGAGGCGCCAGCTTCCCGGGAGGGCCAAGACGGCCAGCAGGGACACAGCTGCTGAGCCTGCTGGGTACAGAGACTCTGCAGACCGGGAACCTGGGGCCTCTCCTCCCCTGGTTCGGCCTGCAGCGTCCAGATGCCTAGAACACGCTTGGAGCGTGGAGGGTGCTGTACGTGGTCCCCACGGGGGCCTCTGGCCGCCCCCTCTGGGCCTGGGAGCTCACCTTATAATCCATTTGCTCAGAGCAGTTGAAGACATACACCATGGTGCCCAGGGCCCTGCCCAGATCCTTGGTGGTCTCGGTCTTTCCCGTCCCGGCGGGGCCGGCAGGGGCTCCGCCCATGATCAGGTGAAGGGACTGGGTCAAGGTTATGTAGCATCTGTAAGGGACCTCTGATCATCCCGAGTGCGGCGACCCCACGGCTGCCCCCTCTCCTCTCACCATAGGGTCAGCTCGTCGTGCCCATGGTGCACCTGCTGGGCGCCAGGGAGGGACAGGGACAGGGACCGGCCCGGCCAGCGTGCGAGACGCGGCCCAGGAACCAGCACCGTCCTGGGGCAGACGCAGCACAGACGCTGTGCCCACCGCAGGGCGGAGTAAACCAGTGACCGTCACCTCACCATCTTGGAGGGCTCGCTCTGAGCACCTCCTGGCCGGTCGGAGTGCTTCGTCTCATTAAATCGCTCCTTCTTCCACAAGCTCATTCGTAAGATGGCACCCCCCCGCCCCCCGCCGCAGGCCCCCAGAGAGGATAAGCCACCCCCCCAAGACCGCATGGCTAGTGAAGTGATCGGTCCAGAACACGGCGCCCGAGGCTGGGTGTCCCCACCGGGCGGCAGGACTGAGTCCGAACGCAGGCCTCCCCGACCCAAGCGCCTGGTTCCGTCAGCCACGGGGGGCCGGGGGCGGGGACATTCGGGTCTGACAGCGCGAGGGAGCACGGGGAAGGGTCCGCAGAAAACAGGCGGTTTCCTTTCCCGGTTGTTCGGGAAGCGACGGGCGCCGGTGCCCTCACCTGTCCGTGAGCGGGGTGATGACCAGCCTCGGCGTGTTGCCCAGGTACTCGTACGAGTACTGGATTTGGGCGTCGCAGATGTTGGCAAAGCAGTGTCTCCTGTCCTCGTCCCAGCGATGCCGGAGCTGTGACTGCCAGGTGAAGGCCTGGGAGCTCTCCACCTGCAGGGAGGCGGCAGGAGGGGGGAGTGTGGGAGCCACAGCTGACCCGGGAAGGGCCCCTGTCCCTCCTGCAGGGTCCCACCCCACCCCATCCCCCCCAGCCCAATCCTGCTGACGAGCGAGCCCCTCCCCCCGGATTGACTGCTCACCAGGGGTGAGTCTCAGGGAGGTTTGGGGTTGGGAGGGGTGGTGTGGGGGGGGGGGAGGTGGCTGCCACCAGGAATAGAGCGGCCTCCCCAGGAAGAGGCACGAACGGGGGGCTGGGGTCCCCGAACACCTGACCCTTGCCCGAGCGCCCGTGCCTTGGCTGTGATCATCTTGGCGACCACGTCCCGCGCGTGCACATCAACGGTACAGACGGTCATGATTTTCATCCTGTCGCCGGCAGTGAGGGTTCCAATGAGCAAGGTGATGAGTGCGTTCAGCTGGCTGATCTGCAGGGGCAGAGGCACCTCGGCTGGGACCCCACGTGCTGCCCATGCCCACCCCCCCACCCTGTCTGGCTGCGTGGGTCCCCTGGGAGCTCACGGCCGGGGGGGACGGTAGGGTAGGCACGACCGGCACACCTTTGCTTACACACAGGGAGCGCAGAGAAAGTTCTTCATATCCCCCAAGTGGGGGGGGGGGGCCGGGGTAAGCAGAGCAGCCCCTGATGGAATTCCCCGGAGGCTCTAAAAATGACGTAGCCCGAGAAAAATCTAGTGCCACGGGGAGATGGTGGGTATTCAGTAAAAACGGGGGGTTTTGAAGCCCTGCAGATAGTGTGTGTGTTATTTAGGTGCAGGTCAATCACATACACGTGAAAAGATCAGAAGTGTACATACGAGTCGTTGACGGTTGGCACTACAGGTGGGGGGGGTTATGGGTAGCTTTCCTCATGTAAAAAAGTTATCTTTAGTTTCAAAATTTCTTTAAGAAAATGCTTATTTATTTATTTATTTATTTATTTATTTATTGTGGACGGGGGGGGAGGGAGAGGGAGAGAGAGAGAGAGAGAGAGAAGGAATGAATGAATGAACGAATGAATGAATCCCAAGCAAGCTCTGTGCTGTCAGCACAGATCCCCATGTGTGGCTTGATCCCACGAACCGTGAGATCACGACCTGAGTCGAAAGCAAGAGTCAGACGGTTAACCGAAGAGGCCACCCGGGCACCCCTAGCCAAGAATCTTTCTATTTGCTTATTTTTTAAAATGATTTTAAATCAATTAATTTTTTTTTTTTT